ATATACATATGTGTGTATAGATATGTAAGTTACCACAAATGGCTTTATTTTATGAATGTTATTGGTTTTTGATATAAATCTCAGTCACCCTAATTAAAAACTACATTCTATGGTGTTCACTCGGCATCATATTAAAAAGACTGGTGTCGGGGCGCCTGTTTGGCTCGGTCGGTTAAGCGTCCGACCTTGGCTCAGGTCATGATCTCACGGTCCGTGAGTTCGAGCCCCGCATCCGGCTCTGTGCTGACCGCTCAGAGCCTGGAGCCTGTTTCAGATTCTGTGTCTCCCTCTCTCTCTGCCCCTCCCCTGTTCATGCTCTGTCTCTCTCTGTCTCAAAAATAAATAAACGTTAAAAAAAAAATTAAAAAAAAAAAGACTGGTGTAAACTACAAGGGCTTCTTTTATACACCTCCATCTACACCTGAGGCTTTCATAATTAATTTTATGAATGTAAAAAAAATTTCTGCACTGGTGAAATTAGTGGCTTATTGATTAGTATGTTTAAGATATGCAGATCTGCTTGTATGCTTTAGTAAGGCTCCCCTCTCCTTTCACAAGATGTAAGAATCATGATATAAGAATTGAGTGAGGCTTGTAAACTATTTCCTCAAAGATAGTGGACACAGCTTGACCCTAAAAAGATCCATGTATCCAACTTATAATGTAGGAGACCTTAATTATAACTATAATGCAGGAGAATACAATTGCCTAACGACAGCTATATGTGTTACCTGTTCACATCCACCTCAAGTGAAGTTTCATACCAGGTGGTAGTCAGAACAAGTAAAAGCACCACATGACTTCTGGCCACAATGATTTTGACCACACTGAGATTAAAATATAGGTTGTAATAAATTGTTTTATGTTTGATTGCCAATGGATATCTATATTTAATAAATTTATATGTATGTCAGAATTTGGCTTAACTCGTTTTTATTTTAACTTGATACCAAAATTACAGGTGTAGACAACCCTCAACCTGAAACTTCTTTGGTAGTTAGCATTATCTACTGGAAAAAAACCTGCGAGGTAAGGGTGACCAAATGGGTATAGCTCAGCTTGCATCAATTATCTGAGTACAGTTCTCCTAATCTTCAAGTCCTCTCCACTGACCCCTTATGGTGAGGGTCATTGCTCTCCAGAGATCTCTATAGATCAATGATTTCAATCCAGAAGCAGTCACTGAACACATTCTCTTTGTTAGGCTCTGAATTTAGCACTGGTGATACAGAGATATACAAGTAAAAATCATTACTGTCTTGGAGTTCACAGTCTAGTAAGGAAGCCTAACAGTTTATAAGATAATTATGATTTAGTATGATAAGTAGAAGGTGAGATAGGCTAATAGCTAAAAGCAAAGTTATGGATAGATATACAATTGTGGAGAAGTTATTAAATTCCCCTAAGTTTTATTTTTCTTATATTAGGAATAAAAATAACAAATGCATATGCAAAGGTTCGCACAGCAGCTGGCACACAGTAAGTGATCATAAATGCTAGCTGTTATTATGTTGTTAAATGAATTCCTATATGTATTTATTTAATCATCCAACAAATACTTTAATTCATATTACTTACTATATATCAGGCATAGAGAAAAAGAGACATAGTCCCTGCCACTTTAAAGCTTTTTGAGCTGTATATATACATTATGAACGCATAGAGGGGCTGAAAATTATGAGATCTCATTCTGCTTGATATATTCCTTTAAGAAGCTTATTCAGGACATAATTTTTATCTTTCAAAAATCTCCAATTTTAACATGACTATTTCCATAGAAACTGGAATTAGGTTAATGAACACCCTTTACAAAAGTGTCAAACCCAGGTCTTCTACTGCTATCAATTTATCTTGACCATTACCCATGGGTAGGTATAAGACAATTCACCAAAGGCAATAGCAAACCAAAGATATGGATGAACAATGCTTAATTTAACATGGATCAACAAAAATGTGAGTCAATGGAATCAAGACTTTATGTTTTGTTCTTTATTGGATATGTAGTTAACAAAATGCCTGGTAAACTGGGTGAACTTAAAAAAAACTAATGAGTGAAACACTAGCATGTAAGATAGCATTCAGACATGCATACCAAAAATGTGTCCAAATGATTCTTAGCATCATCTTTCAATTATTTATGATAACAACACTTATATAAATCAGTGTTATATTTAAAGTAGAAGAAATGTCACTTTGTCAGCTATAGACACAGCCACCTCAACAGACACTCAAACTTCTTCAATGGGGGCCCACTGCTCTGAAGTGCTTTGGTGCTGTTATTCAAGTTTGACAATTGAAGTTGTTCAAAAATGAACCGCTTTGCAAAACAGAGAAGAATTTGGGGATGCCAGGGTATCTGAGTGACAGGGAGAAAAGAAGAGGGATAGGGACAGTAGGAGTGTCAGAGATGGAAGGAAGGGATCAATGAAATTGATGGTCATGCCCACAAACTTCCAAATTTTCAGTAAAACAAGCAAAACTCCTAACTAATGTGATAGTTATATTTTATGGAAGTTACTAAAAGAAATTCCTTGCAGATGGCATTGACATAGTGTAGAAGAGTGTAAGCTCCCTGGCAATTAACAGACTCCTTAAAGAAGGGCTTTCAAATGTCATAGGCTATAAAGTCCAGAGAAGTAAGCGTTCAGGAAAATTTCATAGAGATAAAGAAACTCATTAAACATAAAAACAAAACAAAACAAAACAAAAAAACAAAACAAAACTAGGGGCACGTGGGTGGCTCAGTCAGTTAAACATCTGACTTTCAGTTCAGGTCATGATCTCACAGTTCTTGACCTCAAGCCCCACATCGGGCTCTCTGCTGTCAGCATGGAGCCTGCTTTGGATCCTTTGTCTCCCTCTCTCTCTCTGCCCCTGCCCCTCATACATACTCTCTCTCAAAAATATATAAACATTAAAAAAACCATAAAAACGTATTTAAATAATATTCATGCAATATAACACATTTACCTAAATCTCAGTGTAGTTGGCTGAATGACAACTCCTTCCTTCAAAGGTGTCCACATCTTAATTTCCAGAACCTATGAATGTTCCCTTACACAACAAAGGAGACTCTATAGTTGTGATTAAATTAAGGATCTCGAGATGGAGATATTATCCTGGATTATCTGGGTAAGCCCAAAGTAACTATAAAGGTCCTTATAAGTGAAAGCTGGAGGCAAGAGGAATTCAAAGATGAGATTTCTCTCATCTCTCCATCTCTTAAAGAGAGAGATTCAAAGATGTTATACTGCTGGCTTTGAAGATGAAGTAAGGGGCCATGAGGAAAAGATGTGCATAGTCTCTGGAAATTTGAAAAGACAAGGAAATGGATTCCCCCTAAAGCCTCCAGAAGAAAAGCAGCCTGGCTAACACTGTGATTATAGCTTAGAAACATCTCCAACCTTATTAATAAGATACTAAATTTGTGTTGTTTTAAGCCATGAAATTTGTCATACTTTGTTATACCAACAGTAAGAAACTAACACACTCAAATGAGTAAATCTTGATTAAGAATCAGATCCACAACGTTTTCAACACATGGCCAAATAGTAAGAAACATACATGAATTAGATTGCTAAGACACAGACAGAAGGGAGGATGAAAACCACTGAACTGTACAGTTTAAAATGGTTAATTTTATGTTAAATGAATTATATCTCAGTAAACATCAATCTACAATCAATCAATAATTTACCAAATACAGATTACACAATAATAGCCAAGTTTTGCTTTAACCTATTGTTTGTTTCAATGTAACACTGATGCGCTTTGCTATTTTTCTGAAAATGGAACTTTAATGATGGTGGTGGTAATGATGATGATGATGATGATGATGATGATGATGATGATGATGTTGTCAATGAATGTTAAGAATTTTTATGATGACAACCAGCTTGTTTATTGTCCAGTCTGTTACTTTAATGTGTGTTCCCACCCTAAAGAAATATAATAAATGAATAATAAATATCATACCCATTATTCATTGACTTGATTCTGATCCACTAGCTTTGCCTCCCTACCATTATCCCTTAATTTTTTTTTTTTTTACCATCTCCTTTCCTACTGACTTCCACCCAACTTAATCTCAGTCTAAGATACTCTTCATCAACTACCCTGAATATTGTTTTTGCCTCTATTCCGGAGTGACCCTGTAATCTGCCTTCCAAGAGGGCATCCAGCCCCTGGACTCTATCTTTCTCTAAACTGAGATACGATTGGACAGTTCACCCCTAAATGGAGATAAAGATTTTGTATCATCACCACTAGAATACTGGGCATGATCAGGTAGAAAAACAGACTCATGAATGAAGGAGGTAGGTCAAGTCAGTAGCAGGTAGGGAGGCTATTTTGCAGTGCAGGCTTGAAGACTGTAAAGAGCTTGGACCACATCATGGGGTGATGTGAGCTCAGATGTAGAGAGAGCTAATGAGCTATTTTGTCCCGGCAACTAAGAGTATTGGCCCAGGTATTAAAGACAATAGGAAAATTTGAGCTTAGTGGCTTCTTGTTTAAGAATATTGAAGGCGCTGGGGTGCCTGGGTTGCTCAGTCGGTTAAGTGCCCAATTTTGGCTTAGGTCATGATCTCCTGGTCTGTGAGTTCCAGCCCCCAATTGGGCTCCGTGCTGACAGCTCAGAGCCTGGAGCCTGCTTCAGATTCTGTCGCCCTCTCTCTATGTCCTTCCCCCACTCATGCTCTGTCTCTCTCAAAAATAAACAAACATTTTAAAAAATTAAAAAATACAAAGAATATTTAGGGTGCCTGTGTGACCCAGTTAGTTAAGCCTCTGACTCTTGACTTCAGCTCAGGTTATGGTCTCAGAGTTTGTGAATTTGAGCCCCACATAAGGCTCTGAGGTGACAGTTGCAGAGCCTGCTTGCAGTTCTCTCTCTGGCTGCCCCTCCCTCCCTCTCTCTCTCTTTCAAAATATGCTTTAAAAAAGAATATTGCATATAGTATATTAATAAATGTCCCCCCCCCAAGAATCCATTATGAGGATGCATCACACTAAAACAGACATTTGAGTCTTCATTAGGGTCAACTGTACAGATTTTTATGAAGCTTACATCTTGGATTCACATTTAAGATGATGAGGTCAATAGGAAGCCTAGGCAGATATTTCAATCTGTATGAAGCATTATGTGTATTTATTTATTTTTTAGGTGGCTGACATCTTTATTGCTTTGGAGTTGGGGGGTAGGCTTTCAGGAGCTCTTGATAGGGCGACCTGCTCCCTCTTCACCATCTCAGGCTTGTTCTTGTAGATCATGTGCCTGATGCTGCTGAGAGTGCCCTGGGCAATCTTTTTGGTGACAGGCCACAGGGAGGAGGTGGCGGGCTTTTGCTGGCTGGATTTCCCCTTCACGGCCACCACTACACCTTTGCCATCAGCCACCAGCTCCACACTCACAGTCTTGTCGTGAATCAGCCCACTGTAGCAGGAGTAGTTACGAGCCTTCAGGTTATTGAGTTCTGTGTTATGTGTCTGCTTGTTCCTCTTGATCAGGAAGCTGGAGCACTTCTGCACGACCATCCATCCACTGCAGGTGGACAGAACCAACGGCCAGAGACAGAAAGAGCTATTTATTTTTAAGCTAACATTTAGTGATTGTGATGGACCAAGCATTGTGGTAATCACCTTCTCTGTAGCATATTATGTAATCATCATAACAGATCCAAAAATTTGGTTTAACTTTTCTATTTTATAAGTGAAGAAACTAGAGATCAAACACTGAATAACTTTACCCAATTAGTAAACACTGATACCCTGATTCAGTTCTACATCTGTTTCACTGTAAACTCATGCTTTAAACTCCTTTGTTAAAAAATAACCTATTTTTTTTAAAATATAAACAGTGTACTGGATCTACTATCACTATAATTTAAGCTTTAAAGAATCATTTGAGTCATTATTTTTTTATTTTCATTTCTTTTAAGGCAGATTGGGTAATTCACAAAGCAAAATACCTTCTAATAATTTTTACTATATTTACTGCCTTGTCCTTTCATTTGAAGACATATACACTAGAGAAAATGGCTGAATTTTCCTATGGAGAGAGCTCTTGCATTCTTTCAGAAATTCGCTACTATTATAAAATAATTATCTTAATTTCAATGAACAAATGCAAGGACTAATGGCAAATCACTAATGGAGATTTTTATCAGGCACTCAGTTATTAAGACTTAAAATGTATGGGAAAGTGTTACTCTGGAAAAGAGAATTATACAGAATTACACAAGGCTATAATAAATATTGCAGCTTGACTGCATACTAGGAAAGGGATGCAAGTTATTAAGAAACACATCAGGTTCAGAGATCTATAATTAATCTTGTCAACGGATGTGGCAGGACAGATTTCTATTTAAACTTGCATTTTGATGAGGCTTTTCCCTCATTTACTGTATCAGTACAGAGCACATTGGAGACCCAAGGGACCTAAACCCATTACAGTGGTTTCATAGTCAAGTTCATGCTCATTGCATGCCCTGCCTTGTGCTTGGTGACATTAAATATTTAACTAACTGTGACCATGATGTTGTTGAGAAAGCAGCAGCTTTTAGCGCATCTTTTATACACACTGTTGAAGAACAAATACAAAACTAAAACCTCTCTAAGATTCACTGTAGAATAAATGGTCAGGGGACAACATAATCTGTTTAGCTCCTGTAACTGAATTATACTAGAAAGCTTCCTCATTATATGTAGGTATCATATTCTATAGCAGCTAAGTGGAATGTAAAGAGTCATAAGCAATAATTCTGTCATTTGATTTTAACATGTAAGCACAACTTGGATAAGAAAGCATGCTTCTAAACCCTGAAACAGTACTAGAGAAGGTAAATTACTTTGGAAACTGAGAGATGAATTAAATTATTATCTTTTAGTAACATTTAAAACAGAGGAAACAGTTGTACATCAAGGAAAAACGAGGTCTCTTTAGTAAACAAATGGGTGAGCTGTGGAGTTTTATTTTGATCAGATTTATTCCTCATGATTTGCCTTTGGGAAAGAAACAGCGAAGTTAATTTTTAGTGTTGCTCATACGCTTTCTATTAGTTACAGTTATTTTTTTAGAAGTTTCCATTTTTAACCATAATTCAGCAGCATGCCACTTTAGCTTGTGATAGGACATGCATTTTATACATTTATATAATTAATGGCACAATAAAGTTAATGGAAAATGAGAAGTGTTTCTTTTATTAGAATACTACAAATGACACAAAGAAGACCTGTTTCTTTTCTATCTCATTCTCAACCTCCTGAGTCCAAGTAATTTCTTATCTGCATGGTATCAGATAGGTGGAATATGATCTATTCTACAACACGCAATAGAACAGTGGACAGGAGGGGCGCCTGGGTGGCTCAGTCGGATAGGCGTCTGACTTCAGCTCAGGTCATGATCTCACAGTTTGTGAGTTCAACCCCGCATCAGGCTCTGTGCTGACAGATCAGAGCCTGGAGCCTACTTCGGGTTCTGTGTCTCCCTCTCTCTCTGCCCTTCCCCTGATCATGCTCTGTCTCTCTCTGTCTCAAAAATAAATGAAAACATTAAAAAAAAAAAAAAAAAGAACAGTGGACAGGAAAACAAAGAAAAAAATACCATTAGTAGATAAATGTTTAGGATTTACTGGATCCAGTTAGAAGGATTCTAATACCCTGTATAAAAAGTTCCTTGGTTTAAGAGAAATCAGAGAAGTTTTATATAACTGTTATTCTAAGGGCCCATTTTATAGCATTTTCATTTGATTTAAGTCACCAAGCATTAATTCTCTTCATATTTTATTGATATATAATACAATATCACACATTTATTTGTCTACTTGTTATCTTCTCCACTAGAATGAAAATTTCACTCAATTTTTTTTTTTTTTTTTTTCTTTTAACCTTCCTATATAAAGGCTTTTGAAGATTACTTCACTTTGATGGTCTGTGAGAAATAACCAAGGACTATTCCTTGCCTACCATGCAAACAACAGGCAGTAATTATTATTTTTCTCTAGGCACATCAATCCAGGGGTCTCTGGACCCATGGGGAGTAAGGGAATAGTGAGCATTTATCTTAAAGGTTAGAGAAGTTTACACAGAGAAGCCATGGGTACAATTTTGTCTTTTCTCAAAGTTATTGTAGTTCCTTTTCTACTATAATACCTTAACAATGTCTGTCTTCTTGCTGATTTATACCCTAGTCTTACTGAAGTTCTTCCACTTCCTAGAATATATCACATGCCCCACTTGTCTCTGGTCCTTTGCATCTAACCACCATCTGTCTGGATTAGGGTCTTCCTTCAAACCCCACTGCTCACCCTTATGGTCAGTCTGGTGTTACCTCTTTTGAGAAGTCTTTCCTAATTCTGACTCTGCATTTGGCGTTCCTTTTTGTGATCTCATATTATCATGGATATCCCATCCCATGTTTACCACTCCTAACCACCACTCCAACTGTAACTGTTTTCAAGTTTGACTTCTTCAACAGAGCAGAAGCTTACTGAAGGTAGATCTCACAACATGTTTCTTCATCATTGTGTCTCCATATATTAACTAGGTCCCTAATACAAATATATTTACATTTTATGGGCATATGTGCACATATAATGGTAAGGTATTTACATTTTACCAGTGATAAATGGAAATATCACTTGTCACAGAAAAATATTATCACTAATATTCTAAAATGAACTGTAAAATGTCAAATTATTTTCAAAATATTTTGCTTGTAAAAAAAGTAATCTATTAATGAAAATCTTCTACTTATTGCCATGTATTTATGCCAGTTTCTGGCACTCGAGAGGCCAGATTTTGGCCACCAGGAGAGCTCAGGCATAGAGTTCAGCATTCTTCAGTGACCACTTTGGACCCCTAGGCTGAAACGATGCTCTGAGCTTTCATGACATTGGCTCAATGACATGAATGCCAGTGGCTGTTACACATTTTCACTGAAAGGAGACAAAAATTGTGCCATAGCTGGAAAAATCAGAAATATTGATAGGAAGACATGTATTATTATTTTTTTCTATATTGTAACAACGACTCAATATTTTTGTTTCCAAATGATTACCCTATTTTCTTGTAGGGGCATTAGATTATTCTATAAAACATCCCTCCACCGTGGTATCACTACCACTTTATTTTTACCTATCAGCATTTGTATATGGTTCTGTGGCTTTCAGCAGCCCCTTTTCTTCCCATAAAACCCTCACTCTATGATGCTGTGTAACTTGAAGTTCCGCAGTGTCCTCTCACTGTGAGCAACATCTGAAGGATAAATGTGCACTTGTGTCACTTATCACACCTTATCACACCTTAGTGTGTACATGGAAGTTAGTTTCTATAATAGCTGGGGAAATCTGAATCACAATGTCACGCAACTGAGACAGAAATTACATCTAAAGTGACAGGTAACAGCAAGTACAATATGAGGTGGATGAGTTGATATATATGGATTATGATAGGGAGACCAGGAGTGTGAGCCAAGATTTTGTTTTAACGATCATCAGTGGTGTTTTGACCTTTATAGCACTTTCATATTGTGACTATTCTCTGAAGCATAGAATTCTGATCACTGACAATCAATCAATAAGCTGTGATGGATGAAGAAGGTATCCTTCTGGTCTGAGGCAGACACCAATGTGAAACGAACCACTCCTTGTGAATACATGTGAAGTGCCAGATGCTGAGACTCTTTTTTTTTTTTAATGTTTATTTATTTTTGAGAGAGAGAGAGAGAGAGAGAGAGAGAGCAGGGGAGGGGCAGAGAGAGAGGGGGACAGAGGATCCAAAGCGGGCTCTGTGCTGACAGCAGAGACCCTGAAGTGGGGCTTGAACTCACGAACCGTGAGATCATGACCTGAGCCGAAACCAAGAGTCAGGCGCTTAACTGACTGAGCCACCCAGGCGCCCCTACTGAGATTCTTTTTGATACACAGTATTGACACAAGTCTGAGAGGTAGGTATTACTATTCCAGTTTTATACATGTGGAAACTGAGGTTTAAGTTAAGTTACAGAGAAACCAGGGATGAATCTAGAAATTGAATCCAGTTATCCCAGAAATCAAATTCCAGGCAACTGGGTATCAAAATGCTGCCAAAGCTATAATTATGGATCAGGGTCCACCCTTTTTTCTGTATTGAGATTTCCTGGGATGCCCTCAAAAAGGCTGATGAAAGTGACAGATATTCTTCCTGGAAAATAAAAATACTTATTTTTGTATATTCTTTTCCAGAATTCATGGACTCTGAAATTTATCAACAGACACCCGGATCTCAGAATAAAGACAATCTATAGGGAAGAAACCCAGTCTTATTAACCTTTGCTTTCTCCTTGTTACATAAGATCCTTTCCAGGCATGGAACTGGTGTGAAGACTGTTGAATGAATTAACTGAATTAAAGAATGAACGAATAAAAAAGTTCTTCTAACTCACTGCTGCTAATTCACATTATGCCTGTGTGGGTGTCTGGCTTAATTACATACCATTATATCTCATGTTCTAATATTTATTGAGGATCTATTAAATGTCAGGCCCTTTTTCATCAGTCTATGTGCATTATTTAATTTAATCCTTACCATGGTTTTCAATAGCAGACATTACCTTTTTATAAACAGTGAAGATTTGTAGCAAATCCGCATTGAGCAAGTCTGTCAGCACCATTTTTTTA